ATTACAAAAAAAGATTAATTAGCAAAAAAGAAAAAAAGAAGAAAAAAGTGAAAAAGTAATGTTTATTTCAAGTGTTAAATTTTAAGAACAGTTATTTGGATTCAATATTGCACTGGTAGTTATACTAGAGGTTATTTGGCAGTACAAGGTATTTAAGAGTACTCTAAGATAGTAAATGTGGTATTAAAACATGTAAAGGTAATTAGACAAGTAATGGTTATTAAATGATTTCAAAAATGTTAAGAGTAAATTGTACTGATAGTAAAAATGGTAATTAATTATTAATTTTAGTAAGTAATATCAATTAATAGTATTTAAAAATATATGAGGTAGTAATATGGACAGAGAAAGTATCAATTCAGCTAATATTTAAGCAAACAATAGTAAATAAGAAAATTACATAAGGTGACTTATGCTTACTAGTAAAATCACAAAATGAGGTAGTTGATTATTTAATTACTAAGAAATTGTACTATGAAATTTGAACAATAATGGAGCAAAACATACACTACACTATGTAGGCTTTTAGGTTGGACATTGTTTAGTTATTCTCTGTAAGATTAGAGTATCCCTGAGAAATCGTGATAGATCATTCTCATTCGTGATTGTGTACAGTTGACCTACATTCGTTTTCCTAACTAGAATTTTTCCATCCCATGTGAAGCATTGGTGTATTGTGTCATTATTCTCCTGCTTAAGTTTTCTGACTCTATACAGGAGGTTCTGACGTTTTTTGGTAAGACACTCATTTATGTATACCTCTTTCTTTACTTTAATAGATGCAATTATTAAGTCTTTTTTCCTGTCATGTGAGTGGAATCTAAGCATAACACTTTTTCTACCATGGGATCCTAGTAACCTGGCTTCCTTTATTTCTGACTCTGGTACTGTAACTTTTGTTTGGTCCTTTATGATCTGGAGAGTAATTTCTTTACTGTTCGTTCAGTTCATATCACTGGGAAAAAGTGGACTGTTAACTATTACTGCGTCCGATAGTTTATCTTGTTCAGTTTTATCTTCTTGGAGAGCAAAGTAGTCGCTGAACTGGTTATCTAAGTTGTTCTTCCATTCTTTTACTGCTTCTTCAACCTTTGTATTAAGAGATATTATTTGTTCTGCATGGCTATCTATGACTGTTTGGATGGTCTTGCCATAGTTAGTCATTCCTGGTGTTGATAACTTTTGTTCAAGACTGAGGATTTTGTTCTCGAGTTGTGTCATCCTGGTGTCTTGTTTTGTTAGCGTCTCTCGAAGATTCATATCTGTTGCTTTCCCTGACAATAATTTCCATCAGGGGTTCATCAAAGAATAACTTGAAACATTCTAGTTCAGTGGCACTGTTCCCAAGTGTACACGATGGCCGTATTCCACTTTGAGTTTCATCAAAGTGATGGGGATTGGGAACAAAATTGTCAGCTTCCTGCCAATCCCTGGTGCGGTCTGCTGGTGGGTAATGGATATTGACAGGTGGTTGTGGTTGTGGAGGCTGGTGTGATGGGTGGGTGGCTGAGGGTGGTCTTTATTGTAGCTGAGCTGACTCAGCGGCATGGGTGGCAGCATGACCCACTGCTGGTGCCTCATGGCTGGCACCTCCACTACCACCACCATGCACATTTTCCATCCCAATTGTAACACTATCATCTTCATTTTCACTATCTGTTCCTGTTGTACAGCCACGGGATGTACTCTGAGATGTACTCCTTCCCCTTGGAATAGCATATGGCACACTACCAGATCACATATACCGTCATATATACTGACACTTCACTGGAGAATATTCCACTTCACTATCGCTACTGGAACTCTTTTCAAGAGCTTGTAGTTCATATTCACTATCACTATCATCACCCTTGCTCACATCTGTGTCCTGGATATGGAAAAATAGGAGTTTCCTCTTTCGTTCTGGTACAACTGAACGTGAACAAGACAGCCCAGCACCAGAGGTGGAAGGCTGAGGGTCATCTGAGTTTTCCTCACTATTACCGGTATTATGGTCATTAGTTTCAGTCACAACCTCATCAAAACCTTGAAACTCATCTTCACTGGCACTTCCATCTGTATTAGAACTGTCAGTGCAGAACAAAAGTGTCCCAATTTGCCAAGGAGTGAGGAGTTTCTTACCATGAGTCATGGTGAACAAGGTGTACTAAAATGGCATTCCCACAATGCATCACTGGGTCCCCGATTTTTTCTTACTGCGCACACTGACCATGCAGACCCATTCTCTCACATCTAGGCCTCCCAGCCTTTTCCTGCTTGATTTGAAGGCGCTAGAATTTTTGCGTACTAGTTTGTCAATAACCCTGGTGCATAAGCTGTACTAGTACATCGGAAACCCTGAAAGGATTAATAATAATAATAATGTAAAAAGAGAGCAAATGAGAGAGTGGGTGAGATGTTATCAACAAATTTTGTTGAAAATAAGAAAAAGTTTTGGAGTGAGATTAACAAGTTAAGAAAGCCTAGAGAACAAATGGATTTGTCAGTTAAAAATAGGAGAGGAGAGTTATTAAATGGAGAGTTAGAGGTATTGGGAAGATGGAGGGAATATTTTGAGGAATTGTTAAATGTTGATGAAGATAGGGAAGCTGTGATTTCGTGTATAGGGCAAGGAGGAATAACATCTTGTAGGAGTGAGGAAGAGCCAGTTGTGAGTGTGGGGGAAGTTCGTGAGGCAGTAGGTAAAATGAAAGGGGGTAAGGCAGCCGGGATTGATGGGATAAAGGTAGAAATGTTAAAGCAGGTGGGGATATAGTTTTGGAGTGGTTGGTGCAATTATTTAATAAATGTATGGGAGAGGGTAAGGTACCTAGAGATTGGCAGAGAGCATGCATAGTTCCTTTGTATAAAGGCAAAGGGGACAAAAGAGAGTGCAAAAATTATAGGGGGATAAGTCTGTTGAGTATACCTGGTAAAGTGTATGGTAGAGTTATTATTGAAAGAATTAAGAGTAAGACGGAGAATAGGATAACAGATGAACAAGGAGGCTTTAGGAAAGGTAGGGGGTGTGTGGACCAGGTGTTTACAGTGAAACATATAAGTGAACAGTATTTAGATAAGGCTAAAGAGGTCTTTGTGGCATTTATGGATTTGGAAAAGGCGTATGACAGGGCGGATAGGGGGGCAATGTGGCAGATGTTGCAGGTGTATGGTGTAGGAGGTGGGTTACTGAAAGCAGTGAAGAGTTTTTACGAGGATAGTGAGGCTCAAGTTAGAGTATGTAGGAAAGAGGGAGATTATTTTCCAGTAAAAGTAGGCCTTAGACAAGGATGTGTGATGTCACCATGGTTGTTTAATATATTTATAGATGGGGTTGTAAGAGAAGTAAATGCAAGGGTCTTGGCAAGAGGCGTGGAGTTAAATGATAAAGAATCACACATAAAGTGGGAGTTGTCACAGTTGCTCTTTGCTGATGACACTGTGCTCTTGGGAGATTCTGAAGAGAAGTTGCAGAGGTTGGTGGATGAATTTGGTGGGGTATGCAAAAGAAGAAAATTAAAAGTGAATACAGGAAAGAGTAAGGTTATGAGGATAACAAAAAGATTAGGGGATGAAAGATTGGATATCAGATTGGAGGGAGAGAGTATGGAGGAGGTGAATGTATTCAGATATTTGGGAGTGGACATGTCAGCGGATGGGTCTATGAAAGATGAGGTGAATCATAGAATTGATGAGGGGAAAAGGGTGAGCGGTGCACTTAGGAGTCTGTGGAGACAAAGAACTTTGTCCTTGGAGGCAAAGAGGGGAATGTATGAGAGTATAGTTTTACCAGCACTCTTATATGGGTGTGAAGCATGGGTGATGAATGTTGCAGCGAGGAGAAGGCTCGAGGCAGTGAAGATGTCATGTCTGAGGGCAATGTGTGGTATGAATATAATGCAGAGAATTCGTAGTTTGGAAGTTAGGAGGAGGTGCGGGATTACCAAAACTGTTGTCCAGAGGGCTGAGGAAGGGTTGTTGAGGTGGTTTGGACATGTAGAGAGAATGGAGCAAAACAGAATGACTTCAAGAGTGTATCAGTCTGTAGTGGAAGGAAGGCAGGGTAGGGGTCAGCCTAGGAAAGGTTGGAGGGAGGGGGTAAAGGAGGTTTTTGTGTGCGAGGGGCTTGAACTTCCAGCGGGCATGCGTGAGCGTGTTTGATAGGAGTGAATGAAGACGAATGGTTTTTAATACTTGACGTGCTGTTGGAGTGTGAGCAAAGTAACATTTATGAAGGGGTTCAGGGAAACCGGCAGGCCGGATTTGAGTCCTGGAGATGGGAAGTACAGTGCCTGCACTCTGAAGGAGGGGTGTTAATGTTGCGGTTTAAAAACTGTAGTGTAAAGCACCCTTCTGGCAAGACAGTGATGGAGTGAATGATGGTGAAAGTTTTTCTTTTTCAGGCCACCCTGCCTTGGTGGGAATCGGCCAGTGTGATAATAATAATAATAAATAGTACGTCAAAAACCCTGGTGCGTAAGCCATACTAGTACCTCCGAAACCCTGAAAGGGTTAATGGACCCATATATACAGTATTTATTTTAGTAAAGAATGTTTTTGCATAAATTTTCCCAAGGTTTTGGATGGTTTTGCTTTGAGATGAAGGTGAACTTTGTTTGACTTACGGTGATATTAATTTCAGATTTTTATTGCAGGTTTTAAAAATTTAAATTTTTTGTAGATATTCAGAAGCAATACAACTGTAAGGAAAACAATGTTTATTATAAAAGAGAATCAAAGAGTGTTGCATGTTATTAAGTTTGCTGCAGTAGAATTATGTGCCCTATGTAATTGTTTTAATAATACTTTGCTGCATCAATAGAAGGACATTTTTGTATTCTCCATCACTAACATTGCTACATAAATAAATGCACTGTAACATAATGTTTAAATTTATATTTGGAAGTACAAATATTGATAAGCTGAATTTTTAATAATTACAGTAGTATGCAGAAAGAATATTGGCAAATATAAGTACAGTATTCCCTGTTTGTGAACTTTCATACATTTTGCACTTTCAGATTACCGAGAACTGTACAAATTTGCAGTGGTTGTCAGTAGCTAAGTGTTCTTGGTTATCTGATGAGCCACTCATAGCACTGTTTAACAGGAACTTGCATTTACATCATGTGGACCTGAGTGCCTGCAGTGGTCTTACTAGTGCTGCATTGCAGGTGAGATGATGAAAACAGATTTCATGACATAAAAGGTGATATGAAAAAGACCTGGAAAACTTTATTTGAAATTCTAGGATCTAAAAAGCTTTCTCAAAACATAATGATTAACTTAACAAAACCAGAAGAACCTCTCCTCCAGCCAACCGATACTGCCAACAAACTTAATGTCTTTTTCTTGATTGTAGGAGCAAAGATAGCAAGTAAAATCCCAAACTCAAACATTCAACCAAAAGACTACCTCACTGGCAGCTACCCAAATACTCTATTTTTAGCCCCAACAAACCCTACTGAAATCTCACTCATCATCAAAACACTAAAGAACAAGACGAGATCTAAATAACTTACCACCACTCATGTATAAAAAAGCCTCTCGTGTGTTGTCACCAATTATTGCAAATTTTTTTTTACAAATCCATTGAATCTTCCACCTTCCCATCCATACTCAAGACAGCAAGGGTTACCCTGATCCTCAAAGGAGGTGATCCAGCTGAATTGAACAACAATAGGCCTATATCAAACTTGCCCCTACTATCTAAAATCTTTGAAAACTTAATTTACAAACAAGTCTCCTCCTCCTTAGTATCCCATAATATACTCAACCCCTATCAGTTTTGATTCAGACCAAAAAAAAAAAAAAAATAAAAATGATGCTATTATACATATGCTTGAACTAATATATTCTGCACTCGAAAAAAATGAATTTCCCCCGGGACTTTTCATAGACCTGCGAAAAGCTTTTGATACAGTTGACCATGACCTATTGCACCTAAAACTCGAACATTATGGGGTGAGAGGACACTCTCTCGATTCCCTAAAATCTTAGCAATAGAACCCAATATGTATACACAAATGGAGCTAGCTCCACTACTCAACCTTTTCTTGTTGGAGTCCCACAGGGGAGTGTCCTTGGCCCACTTCTCTTTCTCACCTACATAGTGACCTCCCAGATGCATCTAATCTCCTTAAACCCATTTTATTTGCAGATGACACTACTTATGTCTTCTATCACCCAAAGCCAACCTTACTAACAGACACTGTTAATGCTGAACTGCTAAAAATATATCTACTTGGATGACTACCAGCAAACTTACTCTCAATATATACAAAACCTACTTCCTGCAATTTGGAAACAGAGCTTCAGATGTACAGCTAAACATATTGATAAATGGTTCACCCATTTCTAGACAGACAGAGGGCAAATTTCTAGGTCTCCACCTTGACTGCAGTCTCAAATTTCAGACACACATACAGCAAATTTGCAAGAAAGTCTTCAAAACAGTAGGCATAGGTTCAAAGATACGGTACAGGTTGGCCATCAGTAATCTGGCAATCAGTTATCCGGTTCCATCAGTAATCTAGCACTAATTTTGGCTAGCATAATTTCAAATTTCATCATTATACTGACTCAAATTTCATCATTATACTGACTCAGAAATTGTGCAGATGGTTGTAAATCCACTGCATCAAGCCAGTGGAGGAGATAGTAGTGATGAAAATGAAGAAGATGTAGCAAAGTCTCTATTTATAAGTTAAATAAGTGTATTCTAACCTAACCATTCTGTAATCTGGCAAACTCACTAATCCAGCACACTACAGATCCCAGTGATGCCAGATTAGTGATGGCCGACCTGTACAATGTACCCCAATCAGCTCTTCTTTCTCTGTACCACTCTCTCATTTACCCTTACCTCACCTATGGTATTTGTGCATGGGGCTTAACCACAGCAAAGCACCTTAAACCCTTAACCCTTTCAGGGTTTTTGACGTACTAGTATGTCTTATGTGCCAGGGTTATTGATGTACTAGTACGCATAAATTCTAGTGTCCTCAAATCAAGCAGGAAAAGGCTGGTAGGCTTAGACATGAGAGAATGGGTCTCTGTGGTCAGTGTGCATGGTACAAAAAAATCGGGGACCCAGTGGTGCATTGTGGGAAAGCCATTTTATTTCACCTTGTTCACCATGTCTAGCGCTAAGAAACTCCTCACTCCTTGGCTAATTGGGGCTCTTTTGTTCCCAAGTGACAGTTCAAACACAGATGGAAGTGTCAGTGAAGATGAATTTCATGGTTTTGAGGAGTTTGTGACCGAAAGCAATGCCCAGGAAACCAGAAGGAAGGAAGGAAGGAGGGTAGGTAGGAAGAAAGGGAGGATGGAAGGAAGAGATGAGAGGAAGGAAGGAAGAAAGGAAGAGATGAGAGGAAGGAGGGAAGGAAGAAAAGAGGTAAGGAAGGAAGGAAGGAAGGAGACCATCAACCTAGGATACCCCAAAAAATTCAGACAGTGACTTATTTCCATGTGGGTTGGTGGGGGGGGGTTAAGGGATGGGTGTTGACAGGCAGTGAGGGTGGTGAGTGATGGTGTGATTTGTCATTGTGACACTAATTATGCCAGTGACTCAGCATATTTACAAGTCCACCCCCACACAGCAACTACAATCTTTACAAACGCTGTAGCAGTTCTGTGAAGTGTCCAGTGACTTTATATGTGTATACAAGGGGCTTTTGGCAAGTACACCCAATCACTATATTTCTTTGTACAACTATGTATCATGTCCTTTGTACAACTATGTATCATGTCCAAATAATAAATATACATGTATATGATAGAAAAATAGTAATGAACAACATTCTTTTATTGTTGGTTTGTGTAAACATGTTTTGTAAACACTATAATAACTGTTTGTGCGGTTATTATGTAGCATACAACGAGTGAATATACATTCAATATACTTTATATTGGTCTCACAGGCCATAAAAGTTACTTGAAGGAAGAAAGAAAGGAAGGAAGAAGGAAGGACAGAAGGAAGGAAGGAGGGAAGGTAGGTAGGAAGGAAGGAAGGAAAGATGGAAGCAAAGATGGAAGGTAGGCATGTGGGGAGGAAGGGATGTGTTGTGGAAGGCAGCGAGGTTAGTTAGTGGTGGTATGATGCATCTTTGTGTCACAAGACATGCCAGTGACTCAGCATATTTACAAGTCCACCCTCACACAACTGCAAGCTTTTACAACTCTACATGTGTATATATACATGTATATATATACAGTGGACCCTCGACCAACGATATTAATCCGTTCCTGAGAGCTCATCGTTAGTCGAAATTATCGTTAGTCGAGTTAATTTTCCCCATAAGAAATACTAATGGAAATCAAATTAATCCGTTCCTAACACCCCAAAGTATTGAAAAAAAAATTTTTTTACAAAATGAAATGTTAATTTTAATACACACAAACTGAAGAAGACATGCACAATTAAATGACACTTACCTTTATTGAAGATCTGGTGATGATTGATGGGATGGGAGGAGGGGAGAGGTGTTAGTGTTTAGAAGGGGAATCCCCTTCCATTAGGACTTGAGGTGTCAAGTCCTTTTTCGAGGTTACTTCCCTTCTTCTTTTAATGCCACTAGGACCAGCTTCAGAGTCACTGGACCTCTGTCGCACAACATATCTGTCCATAGAGCTCTGTATCTCCCGTTCCATTACGATTTGTCTAAAATGGGCCACAACATTGTCATTGTAATAGTCACCAGCACGGCTTGCAATAGCTGTATTAGGGTGATTTTCATCCATAAAGGTTTGCAGTTCAACCCACTTTGCACACATTTCCTTAATCTTTGAAGTAGGCACAATGGATTCCACAACTGGCATAGGCATCTCAGGGTTATCCCCAAACCCTTCAAAATTTTTCTTATTTTCCATACTAATTCTCACCCTTTTTATCACAGGGATGGCACTAGAAGCTTTCTTAGGGCCCATGGTGACTTATTTTGCAGGTGCAATCACTAAAAACGCTGTGATAATATGAAATGTTCCGATTGTATGTTTGGATGCGACCGCAGTGGCTGGCTTGTAAACACTGCGCAGGCCACACATGGACGCGTCTCGAATGGAACGAATCGCGTTGGTCAAGTTTTTTAGCGCTAGTTGAGGCAAAATTTTTGTGTTAAAATGTATCACTAGTCGGATTTAATGTTATACGATGCCATCGTTGGTCGAGGGTCCACTGTATATATGATAGAAAAGTAGTAAACAACATTTTTTGTTGTTGGCTTGTGTAAACATGTTTTGTAAACAATATAATGACAGCAAAGTTTGTGCTGTTATTGTGTAGTATACAATGAGTGAATATATGCCAAATAGTCTTTATATTAGTCTCAGAGGCCATAAAAGTTACTTGAAAAATAAAATATTAAAAAATGAAAGAAAAAAGTATAAAAAACAAAATGAACTATTACCAGGTGACCGGCAGTCGGTGATGTTGCCGTAAGCAGCTCAATTTCTGTCAACTTCATGCCTCCATATCTCTGTAAGTATTGATCGTAGAATTTTTTTTTTTTTTTTTTTTTTCAAAAATTTTTCGACCCTGAGAAGTTTGGAGAGGACCTGTCAACCCTCAAAGGGTTAATAACCCAGCAGAAAGCTGCAATGCGATTGATTGCTAACTCCTGCATTAGACAACACGCTCCACCACTTTTCAAGAGTCTTAACTTTCTTAATATACAAAACATCCACACTTATTATTGTGCCTACTACATACACAGAACACTTTACTCAAATATAAACCCTCCTTTCAGACTCCTTCTTGATAACTATAACAGAACACACAACCATAATACGAGACACAAATCACTCTTCGATATCCCTCGTGTGTATCTCTCCCTATGGAAAAATGCTATGCATGTAAAGGGCCCAAAGATCTGGAATTCATTGTCAGAACTCTCTACAAGACCCCTGTCTGCAAATGGGTTTAAGGCCCTACTTAGAAATCACCTCATTACCCAAAATTAACCAGACAAACCATACCTAATACCTACCAGTTGCTCAAAAGCTACTCAAAAAAAAAAAAAAAAAAAATCTGAATAATTAAAGACTGCATATTGTGCTGAGGATTGCTCAACCACTTACTCACTACTACAAAACTGCAATGTTTAAATCTCATTGTTTTAACCCTTTGAGAGTCCATCCCGTAGATCTACGGCTTTACGTTCAGGGTCCAAAC